GGGACGTAATGGAAGTGAGGCAGTGACATGAGTCTCGGGGAGGTGTACGGGGGTCTGGGGAGGGGTAAGGGAGTGGCAGGACTCTGGGGTAGGGGTAAGGGGAGGGAGTGACAGGGGTCTCGGTTAGGGGTAAGTGGGGGGGGGGGGGGGGGGGGGGGCATGAGTGTAAATAAGTAAAGGTGAGAAAAAGAGGAGATAAGAATGGAGAAAAAGCTAATATATATGGAAAGAGAGAGACAGTTAGAAAAGGGGAGTTGAGAGAGAGAGTGAGAGAGAGAGAGAGAGAGTAAGTGAGAGAGAGAGAGAGAGAGAGAGAGAAAGAGAGATAGATAGACAGAGAGACACAGTGAGAGAGAGAGAGAGAGAGAGAGAGAGAGAGAGAGAGAGAGAGAGAGAGAGAGAGACAGAGAGACAGACAGACAGACAGAGAAAGAGAAAGAAAGATAGAGAGAGAGAGAAAGTGACAGAGAAAGAAAGAAAGATAGAGCAACATCCAGGGGTCCCAGATCAGTTATCACTGAAGGAATGCTCTCTGGTGTGGTAACAGTGCGCCTCTTGCCTGCTAACAAGCCCCCCCGCGCGCGTGATCAAACGTCTATTTACCGAATGAGAGTCAGATTATCTTGATAGATAGCAGATGATTATACTAAAGTCAACAGCCTTATAATCAACACACTTGTAACACCGCTTAGAATGGCGATATAAAACACACACTCACAAATAAGAAGAAAGGGAAGATGAAGAATATATATATATATATATATATATATATATATATATATATATATATGAATATATATTATATATAATATATATAATATATATATTATATATATTATATATATATATATATATATATATATATATATATATACAACACACACACACACACACACACACACACACACACACACACACACACACACACACCACAACACATATATATATATATATATATATATATATATATATATATATATATATATATACAATATATATATATTATTTATTTATTTATTATTTATGAATTTATTTATTTATTTATTTATTTATAAAAAGAAGAAGAGGAGGAAGATGGAGAAGAAGGAGGTGAAGGGATAGGATGAGGAGAAAAAGAAGAAGCAGTAGTGAAGAAAAGGGAATAAGGAGAGAGGGAAATATGAAATGATTGAGAGAACGCAATGAATACGTCGTTGATAATGACACAAGGATAGTAACAAAAACAAACACAATTGCAACAATAATGGTAGAAATGATAATGATAATAAAACTAACAATAATAGGGAGTTGATAATGCTAATAATGATAATTCTATCAATATTAATACTAACAATGATACTGATAATATTCCTAATCTTAATCCTATTTCTGCTAATACTGCTAATAACACTCATATTGATAATGAAAAAATACTGACAACAATAGCAACAATAATGATAGTCGTCGAAGAAAGGAAAGTGTGAATTCTATTGGATAGAGAGAAAATTGAAGAGAGAGAGAGAGAGAGGGAGAGAGAGAGAGAGAGAGAGAGAGAGAGAGAGAGAGAGAGAGAGAGAGAGAGAGAGAGAGAGAGAGAGGAGAGAGAGAGAGAGAGGAGAGAGAGAGAGAGAGAGAGAAGAGAGAGAGAGAAAGAGAAAAGAGAGAGAGGAGAGAGAGAAAGAGAAAGAGAGAGGTGATAAGGTGAGAGACAGAAAGTGAGAAAGAGAGAATAGAAATAGAGAGAAGAGAGAGAAGAGAGAGAGAGAGAGAGAGAGAGAGAGAGAGAGAGAGAGAGAGAAGAGAGAGAGAGAGAGAGAGAGAGAGAAGAGAGAGAGAGAGAGAAAGGGCATAAGGTGAGAGTGAGAGAGAGAGAGAGAAGAGAGAGAGGGGGGGGGGCAGAGGGAGAGAGAACGAATAAAGAGAGAGAGAAAGAAAGAGAGAAAGTAGAAGAGAGAGAGAGAGAGAAAGAGAGAGAGAGCGAGAGAGAGAGAAAGAGAGAGAGGAGGGGGGAGGGAGAAAGAAAGAGAGAGAGAGAGAATACTCATTCACACTACCATACACACATATACATATGCACACCCACCCGCCCACTCCAAGCCTACACACTCACACACATACGCACACGGAGGCTCCACAATGACTCATCGCGACGGTGCCGACACCAGCGACTGACGCCGAGGAAAGAGGGATCCGAAGAGGTCTGTTGTGTCATTTATAGACCTTCCCGCTGCAATAAACTCGACAACCGCGTGAGAAGGAAGTTCCAATTCTCCATGTACGTGTTTATTAATTATCTTTATTTGACCTTTGAAAAATATCAAGTACATAAAGCTTTCTGGGAATTACTGAACATTTACGGCACACTTATTCACAGAAATGGGCGTCGACAGGACGGCGGCAAGTCAAGCTTTTATCCCTGAGAGACAATCGAAACACATTAGGTCTGCTTGCTCGGTATCATTGCCTCTCGGAGAAGACTATTACTTAGATAAGAGAAGAGGAAGCTCAAGTGGGAATAAGTGTGGGTGAAGAGATGAGAGACGTGAAAGATGATGAGAGGGACGAGAGAGAGAGAGAGAGAGGCATAGGAGAGGAGAGGAGAAGGCCCAAAAGAGAAGAGAGTAACTTGGTCTGGCAGAGAGAGAGAGAGAGGGGAGGACAGAGTAGACGAGAGAGGAAATGAGAAAAGAGGGAGAGGTGAAGAAAGAGAGAGAGAGAAAGCGCGGAGAAGATAGAGAGAGAAGTGGGGGGGAGGGCCAGGAGAGAAGAGAGAGAGAGAGAACCCGGGGCAGAGAGAGAAGAAAGAAGGGCAGAGAGGAAAGGAGAGTGGGGGGGGGTTGCTAGAAGAAAAATAAGAAAGAGTGAAGAGAGAGATGGGGGGTGGGCACAGAGAAAGAAGGGAAAAAGAGGAGAGATAGAGAGATTTAGAGAAAATGGGCAGAACCTAGAAGAGCAGAGAGAGAAAGAAGGCAGAGATGAGAGAGGGCGCAGACTTGAAGAAAAGGAGGACAGGACAGGTAGGTTGCTGGCAGGTGACAGAACACGGAGACGATCTAGAGTTAGAAGGAAAAGAGGAGCACAACAGTTTTTTTAATGATAGATGGCTTGCAAAGCAAAGTCAACAAGTGATGAATCGGCGAGGTGTGAATGGGCTTGTTCAGACAGGTCCTGCGGGACTGACGGCGTGAAGAGCGGAGAGGGAAAGCCACTTCCCTATAGCCTTGTTATATCTTAAAACGGTGATCAAGGGAGAGAGAGGAGAGAGAGAAGAGAGAGAGAAGAGAGAGAGAGAGATGAGAGAGATGAGAGAGAGAGAGAGAGAGAGAGAGAGAGAGAGAGAGAGAGAGAGAGAGAGAGGAGAGAATGAAGAGAAGAGAAGAAAACTGAATAGAAGGGAATAGGAGAGAGAAAAAAGAGGGGAAGAGATAGAGAGAGGGGGGGTCAGTAGTGGGAGGTTATTTCCAAAGGTACCAGAAATGTCATAGGTCACTTTTATCAAAGAGGAAATCTCAGGTTATGAGAAGCTAGAAGATTGCTTACACTGAGAGAGAGAGAGAGAGAGAGAGAGCGAGCGAGAAGCGATTGATTGAGAATAAGTCAGAGAAAGCCATAAGAAGGCAGAGAGAGAGAGAGAGGATGCGAGAATAAGAGAGAGGGAGGGAGAGAAGGAGGGATTATAAAAGAGAAGAGAGAGAGAGAGAGAGAGAAAGAGAATATGAAGTGCCCTCTTGAAAAGCTCTCGTTAAACCCTCAACTTGTTTTTGTTGTCTCAACTAACTGCCGTGGTGGTGGTAGCCTCAACCTATGCCATCAATCAAGACTTGTTAATCTAACTAATTGTCATTAAGTGTTCATAATGAGCAGTGTATAATGAAGTGCCACTGGGTCGGCTAAGAATGCCTGCAGTCCGGTATAGGCGAAGTTTAAATATTTCTTACATGATTTATGCTGTACAATTTCCATACTAATTCATTCTGCTCTTTTATCCGTTCGTTATTCCCTTCATATTCTTCTCTTGATATTCTTCTAATTCTTCCTCTATCTCTCATACTTCTTTCGATTATTTCGATGGTCGTCTTTATCTCTCTCTGACTATGACATCTTGACTTTATTTTTCGTGTTGTCTTGAAAGTAATAGATATTGTAAATCATTTGTTATGAGATAGGTAGATAGATAGATAGAGAGAGAAAGAGAGAGGGTGAAGGGGAGGGGGAGAGAAAGAGAGAGGGTGAAGGAGGGGAGAAGAGAGGGGGGAGAGGGGGAGAGAAAGAGAAAGTGAGAGAGAGAGAGCCAGAGAAAGAGAGAATAATGCTGATTTTCTGTACATCATACAAATAATTGCGACTGACAATGTTATCATGTCTTATAATTTTCATCATTGCTTTGATTACAGTTGTGTCTGATAGTATATAATTTGAGCATCTCATTGTCATTGTTCTTTTTCTTGAAAAATGATACATGTACATATACACATACATGAGTATGTATCCAAACACACATACGCACACACACACACACACACACACAAACACACACACACACACACACACACACACACACACACACACACACACACACACACATATATATATATATAATATAATATATATATATATATATATATATATATATATATAATATATACTTCTAATCCGTCCAAGCGGAAAGTTTATCATGCAGCGGGGTTAATTTTTAATTCATCATTTAATCTCCTTTACAAAGTAGACATGGAGCGATTCTTAACACGAGGCAGGAGTCACGTGTCAATTATTATGCGTTTGTCTGTTTTGAGAGAGAGAGAGAGAGAGAGAGAGAGAGAGAGAGAGAGAGAGAGAGAGAGAGAGGAGAGAGAGAAGAGAGAGAAGAGAGAGAGAGAAAGAGAATGAGAGAGAGAGAGAGAGAGAGAGAGAAGAAGAGGAAGGAGAAAGAGAAAGAGATGGAGAAGGAGAGAAGGAGAAAAGAAGAGAGGGAGGGAGGAGAGAAGATAGTAAGGAAGAGAGGTAGATTCATGCAAACGCAC